AAAAAAAAAAAAAAAGAAAGAAAGAAAAAAGAAAAGAAAAAAAAGAAAACCAGCTCCTCTCTCTCTCTCGCTCTCTCTCTGTGGGTGTGTGTGTGTGTGTGTGTGTGTGTGTGTGTGTGTGTGTAGGAGTAAGGAGGTGGGAGGTGAGGTGGAAAAGTAACTGGGACCAAGGTTTCAGCTGGAGAAGGGCAGTTTCTGCAAATTGATTTTACATAATGCAACTGTGAACTCATTACTAGTGTGGTCTCTTTAGCAGATTTGTTACAACTTCTATCTACAAACAGAAAGCACTCTACATTCATGGTTTTCTCACTTGGATCCACACATTATTTAGTTTCAAACCTGGGACAAAAGGATGAGGTGCCTATTTAACATATCAAAGCAGACTTGGCAGCCAGGCTCTTCCAGCATCCCTTAGTTTCTGTGACAGGGTATGGCTGGTATATCCCACCCCCTGCCCTAAACTCTCCAGCCCAGAGGCTGGGCTGCTCATCCCCCAGAGGCTCTTCCCTATATAGTCCAGACATTTTGGCTGCCCTCCCCTCATGGACCTTTGGCCTCCTGCTGCTGCACCTAACTCCCTATCTTCCTCACCCACCCGAACCAGCTCAGCCTGGTCAAGTCCACTCTGGACTCTCCTGATGTCCCTGCTTCTGTATACACTCCCCTTTTATCTACAATAAACTTTCTCTTCCACCATACCTAGGGGCAGTCATGTGTCCTTACCTTTCATTTACATAGATCACTGAGAAAGCTTTTTTTTTTTTGGTTTTTCAAGACAGGGTTTCTCTGTGTAGCTTTGGAGCCTATCCTGGCACTCGCTCTGGAGACCATGCTGGCCTGAGGAAGCTTTATTAAGGTTTATGTGTTTGAGTGTTTTGCCTAAATGTATGTATGTATGTATGTATGTATGTATGTATGTATGTATGTATGCATGCATGCATGTATGCATGCCTGGTGCCCTGTGAGGTCAGAGGATGGCATCAAATCCTTTGGAACTGGACTCCTAGGTGGTTGAGAGCCACCTGGAGTGCTGGGAACCAAGTTCAGGCCCCTACAAGAGCAGCAAGTGCTCTTAACCACTGAGCCATCTCTCTAGTCCCCTCACTGAGGAAGCCTTTTGTTATGGTGGAAGCTCCATCCCAGGCCCTGGCATCCATACAACCAAAGAGTCCAGGATGTTATGCTAGAAGTTCTACCCCAGTCTCTCTCCAAACCCTGCAGCATCTCAGAAAGCCCAACAAATCATGACTCCTCCCAGAGATGCTCAAGACCACTCCCCCACAGGGTATTTAAACTGCCTCCCAGAAAATAGACTCGTGGTTTTCCAGTCTCTCTTTCCATCTCCTCTCTGGGGGGCTGGAAGGCCATTCGAGAGCACTGTATCCATAAATGTGGGCTTAATTTGGTTTGATTTGGTCTGATCTGGATTGCTGCATCGGCAGAGAGGCTTATCGAGGTGCAGAAACCTTTTCAGCTTTTACTTTGTTTTACTGGCACCCCAGGCTGGCTTGGACTTTCAGTTCTCCTGCTTCAGGCTCTCAACCACTATGGCTATCACTGGGTTACACGTGTGAGTCACTACACCCAGATGCAAGGAAATTCTCGAGAGTCTGAGGCCAAGGTGGCACCTAAAGCAATTCAATCATAGTCTGAGGCGGAAGAATCAACACCAGGTTTGTTTGGTTTTAAACCCAGGTGATCCCAGTATTCAGTCAGGCTTGAGAATCTTTGGTCTGCAACAATGTTTACCACCACCACCACCACCACCACCACCACCACCACCAAAATGAGAGTCCCTGTTAAGGAGTGAAATGGTGTACTTGGAACAGGCAGGAGCCCACAGCCTAGAGTCGGAAAAGCATTGTCCAGCAGGCACATGCTGACAGGAAGTGGCTCTGGAGTCTGAAAATGGCCATAAATTTCTATGTCTGACTTCCTGCTAACTAGGAAATCTCTTCCCAGCAGGACCCAAATCTGTGAGTCCTACAGAATTCTAGAGGTTCTCTGTCCTTAAGAAAATGACCAGGTGGAATGGGGTAGACAAAAGAGAAGAAACCCACAGCCACTCCAACAGAGAGAAGCTATTCCTTCAAACACACAGAAAGTCAAGATCAAGGGCATGGTATGTGTGATGGATAGCTTGGTACCCAAGACAGAAATGGCTTCCAGTCCAGTTAAGGAGGGGCTCTGCCCCCTTTGAAACTAAATTGATGTCCACAGTTCCACCCTCTACCTCAGTTACAGCTCAACCCACTCTTATTGCCTCAAACCCCAGATGCTAGCTAGCTACACCAGAATAAGGAGAAGCCCAACAGCATGCCCTCCAATCCAGTTTTAGTCCAGCACCTGGCTGATCCACACTGTGCCCAAGGCCCAGGCCACCCTGGTCAATGGCCTCCTTCCATCACTTCACCAGCTGTCCCCAGTCCTAGCTCACAGATAATGCCCAGGACCAGCATCTTTCTGCTGCTCTGAGGTTATCACCACCATTGCCTACCTACGGCTCCATCCCGGAGGGATTTGTTCCCAGATACTAAGGCTTCAAGCCTCAACCCTACCCAGTACAGATAAATCTGCTGTAAACTTGAGCTGAAAGTACAGCCCAGGAAAACAGCTGTGGTGATGTTTCCCATCTGGGCTCCCTCCCTTGTGCCAGCAGGCCGCCTAGGTGGTGCTCAACACTGCTAACCTGAGACCAGCCAATACAATGAACCTAGAAGAGATTCACAATGCCCACAGCTCTGTGGCCCAGTCTGGCCACAGACCCACTGCTGAGGGGGATGAGTGCTCAGGACAAAGCCTCCCCCCGCCCCAGGGCTGTTTCCAGGCAATGACCAAAAACAAGTGTGGGAGTTCCCCCAAGACCCCCATAAAGAGCAGGGTTTCTTTGTCTCCCGTTTACAAGACAGTGGGTGGGACAGTATCTATTCTCTATCGAAAATGGAGGCCCTGGGATCAGCAGCTACACACCCAAAGGCC